TGAAGAGACATGGCACTTAGAAAAAGTATCAAAGGTTTACGAAATTCTAAATCTTTCTGTGTTCACACGTAATCCTTTTTCATCCTTTTATTTTTATTTAGTGCATTACCGATCGTCCTCATTTTTTTCTTTCGTATTTCGCTTTGATGATTCTTTTTTTTATTATCATTTTTTCAATTTTTTTTACCTTCATAAATCTGCTTTTAATGTGTTGCTCTTTGCTACTGCATTTATCCGTGACTTACGTTTTTATGTAAAGTCTTCACTTCAAAGACGGAAAAATGACATTTCGTTTACTTAATCTTCTTACGAAGAGATGGCTTTAGTTTTTGTTTTTATATTCGACTTAAACTTTCTCATTCACGATTCTTAGTTTTACACGTTCTGATTTTTAATTTTATTTTATTTTCATCCTTCAAATCTTTTTAAGTCAGGATCAGAGAATTCTCGACAATCCCCAACACGCTTAATCTCTTTATTAATACATCTGCATCTTTACGCTGCAGATTTTTTCATATTTTGATGCATTTTTCTTCAGCTATTTTCCAAAAATTCTTGTATTTAATCTAGTCTTTCATTTTATGAGCATCTACAATATTTATTGAGACCTACAACATATGGACAGCATTTAACAGGATATAAGGTGCGTTTTCTTATTCATAAATTAAATATCTTCACCCTGCATGTTATGAACAAAAATAAGATGTTCTGTAAGCCATTATTTTAACTTTGATTATTGGAGACTAAAATTAATTAAAATTTTTAATTAACCCACTCCACACGAGTTTAACATCTGATTTAGTCCCCCCACTTTTAATACCCAATTTGGCACCCGCCTTTTAAAAATATTTTGCTCCTTGTATATATTTAGAGATTCTTGATAAAATCCAAAGATTCTGCAGTGTCATTGGTCTTGATCTGGCATCTCAACTTCAGTCACTTTCCCACCACCCTAATATAGCTTCACTGTGCCTTTTCTATAAATACTTTCATGTTAACTGTTCTGATGAACTTTCTTCCTTGTAAATATTCATTGGGGGTTTATTTTTAAATGTTATTTTTATTCCCCTACCCAGAGAAATTGTACATATGGAAACAGGTTAGGACGACATAGAGACTTGAGGTATTATGGTGACTGTAGTGAGAATAGTAAGAATGTGTTGTTTTGGTGTAAAGAATACTGTGGTATGTTTGGTTTAGTAATTGTAGCTCGCTAAGTTTAAGATAAGACAAATTGAAGATCAGCCTTTCCATATCCCCCGTTTTGGTCTTGTGCCAAATTTTTGTATTATTCAAAATAAATATTACTTTCCTCTATGGTATATAAAGACTCTGAAGTATTGTAGTTACTGCTACGTTTAAGATAAGATCGAACTAAGATCAATCTTCCTCTATCACCCATTTTGGTCTTGTGGCACATTTTTTCATTATTACACAAAATAAATAATACTTTCCTCTATGTTTCCTAAACTCTATGAATTTAAGCGTAGTATTAGATTATCGGCAAGGTCACATCAATTTACAGTTGAAATAGTTAGATGTAACAGTAAATTCTATGCTAATAGATTCTTCTATCATATTTCTCGTTTGTGGAACTCTCTTCCTGATAACTGCTTCCTAGTCAAATCTGATATTCAAAAATGTAAATGCAAAGTCAATCGTTATGTTCTGTCTTTTTAATTCTTGTTCTTTTATTGTTTTCTCTCCTTAATAATATTTTTTCTTATATTCTGTAACACTTAGTAACCCCTTGCATCTTAGTGGCTTTATTGCCTTGCTTGGGGTGAAATGATTAAAAAAGAAGCATTTCCAGCTGAGATGAAGCTCACATGTCCATGCGTCCTATTCGTCATCCAATACGTTAGACGGTCTAAGGTTAGACATTTCAACGCTTGCTTGTTCAGAATTATTAGTATTCTATTTTAAATGGTACACTTTAAGTTTGCATCGGTTGCATTTCATAGTGTTGAGTTTACTGATGGCCTTACTTAATAATGACTTACTAGGTGGAGCTTTGTTGTCATATCTGGGCTGGAGCTTCTTCTTTGAGAGGCTCTCGAACCTTGTATGGGCTGAACGATAGTGAAACAAATTATGAAATCGGTCCCAATTATTTATTTAATTTTTTTTCTCATGAAACGAAATTAAGTTAAATAAAAAAAATGAAAATATTTCAGGTTTTCCGTTGACTTTTAAGTATAAAATCGCAACATCCATATGAGTTCGATTATATATATATATATATTAAAGACATTTTTATGTTTAACATTCTTTTTATAGATACAAGTATTTAAGTAAATGCTCTGTTTATAATAAACAGTATTAAATAACATTTACCGGGAAATTTTCATAGAAAATATTCGTCCTTTGACAGGATTCGAACCTGCATCTTATACGGAACCGTCATTTAGCTTGACGTGCCTAACCTCTCGGCCACAAAGGATCGTTCGGTTGGCAAGGTCAAATCTCGTACCTTCATAACTGCTAAATGACGGTTCGAATCCTGTCAAAGGACGAATATTGTCTATGAAAATTTCTCGAAATTCAAACCGGTAAATGTTATTTAATACTGTTTTTATAAACAGAGCATTATTAAATACTTGTATCTAAAAAGAATGTTAAACTATAAAATGTCATATCGTGTCGGACTTTGTCCATTTCTTATATATATATATATATATATATATATATATATATATATATATATATATATATATATTCTATTTTAAATGGTACACTTTAAGTTTGCATCAGTTAAGTTTACTGATGGCCTTACTTAATAATGACTTACTAGGTGGAGATTTGTTGTCATATCTGGGCTGGAGCTTGTTCGTTTCTCACCTTCCAGCCATTCTAATGCAAAATCATTTACGTGGTCTTGTGGATGAAGACTTATTCTCTACTCTACGATCTTTTTGTCCACAGACTCAAAGTCGCAAGCCTATCGTTCCTCTATCGCTATCACGATGGTACATATTCAGGTGAACTCTTTAATCGGAAATGATCGTTCGCATTGACACGATGAGACCGACTACGGTCGACTCCTTTAGTTTCACCTGTTCAGGTCTTCAGAGTTAAGACACGCCACCCTATTTCCCTGGAGTCAAATCCCCTCGAATTACGAAGATAAGGGGAAAGTTCTACCCAGACAGCATCCCAATAACTTTAAATTGTGGGCTTACGTCCACGACATGTTGAAACACCGCTTAGGAATACCAGGTGTTATCAGCTCGGATTTTAAATAAAAAAATGAAAATATTTCAGGTTTTCCGTTGACTTTTAAATATAAAATGTAAGAAAAGTTGTATAATCACGACATCCTTATAAGTTCGATTTATATACACGAATATATATTTATACGAATATATATATATATATATATATATATATATATATATATACGATTATACATATATATATATATATATACGATTATACATATATATATATATACAATTATATATATATGTATATGATTATATATATATACGATTATATATATGTATACAGTTTATATATATATATATATATATATGATTATATATATATACGATTATATATATATATATAATCTTATATATATATATATATATATATATGTATTCAATTATATATATATATATACGATTTATATATATATATGTATTCAATTATATATATATATATATATATATATAATATATATATATATATATATATATATATATATATATATATATATATATATATATAAATATTCGAGTGTGTGTATGGGATTCTAGGCCACGGTGGAGCCTTACGCATCCAGTACACATTGATGTCACAAGGAAACGAAATATGTTAAGAACAGAGAAAGAAGAGTGTTTTAAGAAGACAAAGGAAAAGGCGTTAGAACATTTTTAAGCTAATGTGAATGTGAAAAGAAAAAAATGTAAATTGAAAACGAAAGGATAAAGTTGCAAGAAAGAAAGCTGTTGTACTCATTGTTACTGCCGCCGCCGCCGCCGCCGCCGCTGCTGCTGCTGTTGGTGCAGTGCAGTAGATCAAGAGCAAAGGAAGGAGAAGAAGACATAGAGTTAAAAGAAGAAGAAGAAGTAAAAGAAGAAGAAGAAAAGGAGAAAACGAAAATAATGTTTCTTTATCGTCATTTGACCCACAATTCTTGATATTTCTTATGCCCCATTTCGCATCTTTGCTGGATTTGTTTATTGCAGTCTTTCTTTCTTTCTTTCTTTCTTTCTTTCTTTCTTCTGTTCTTTTCCTATTATATTTTCTTTCTTTCTATTATGCTTTATTTCTTTCTTTCTTTCTTTCTTTCTGTTGTGTTTTCTTTCTTACTTTCTTATTTCCTGTTACGCTTTCTTTCTTTTTTCTTTCTATTATGTTTTCTTTCTTACTTTCTTTCTATTATGCTTTTTCTTTTTTCTTTCTTTCTATTATTCGTTTTTCTTACTTTCTTTCTTTCGTTTTTTTAATTCTTTTTTTATTATGCATTTTTATTCTTTGTTTTGATTTTGTAATACTTTCTTTCTTATATTCTTTCTTTCTTATTTCTTAATTCTTTCCATCCATCTCTCTTTCATTTACTTTTTTTTCTTTTTTTTTTCCCTGCTTTATTATGTACTTTTTCGTTTGATTTCACGCGTTCTTCCTTTTTTCTTCGTGTTTTCTCTATTCATTTCTTTTTTCCCCCTTCTTTTCCGATACGAAGTCACTTGGATTTAACTACCTGTTGGTAGGGTACCGAATGTTCCCTTCGAGGAATGCACGTCAACGTGTCACTTGATGCTGCCATTTAAAAGGTGAATTTGATAGTCTAAAAACAAAATCCAAATAATAATAATAATAATAATAATATTAATAATGACAATAATAATAATAATAATAAATGACATAAGAACGTACAGTGGCAGTAAAAAGGGTACCTCTACGTGGGGGCAATGCTTAGTGAGCTAATGATCATCATATTACTAGTCGGTACAAAGTTTGACCCTCACAACCATTCCTTTGTAAACATGGCTTACAGTCATATCACATTGAAACAGCAATTCCCGTACGATCACCGAAGTTAAGCAACGTCGAGCCAGCCCAGTACTTCGATGGGTGATCGCTTGGTAATACCAGATGTCATAAGCTTGGGTGCGCGGTTGGTGTAATGCATAATGCCTTGGAATTGTTAATAGGAGATCCAGGTTCCAGTCCCAATTGGATTCGTTATATTCACTTGCACGCAAATACCTTCGGGAAACGTATGAATCAATCCCCACCCCACGGTAGTTATGAATTAATTAGTAAGACTTGTATCACTAAATCATTATTATCTCCGCACCCCCACAAAAAAATTACAATGTAAACAAATATTTTCTGACTTGAAATTACTGTAAAAGGTTGATAAACTATAAAAAAAAATCAATCAATTTGTGAACATGTGTCAATTTAGTATATTTTAGTATAAGTGTGTCAAGTTAGTACATTTTAATATAAATGTGTCAAGTTAGTACATTTTAGTATAAGTGTGTCAAGTTAGTACATTTTAGTATAAGTAAGAAAGAGGTCCAAATACTCTTCCTCTTTCTTCTTCTTTGTACCATGTCCCTTCAGAACGATTCTGACTCTCCACAACTACCTAACCTTTGTCGCCCTTAATAGTTTGTCATTTTTCTATATTCCCTAATCTCTGTTCTGCCAATCATTTAAACAATCTCGTTTTGTAGGTTACGCGCTGCTTTCATCTGTTGCCCTTGCCTTCACTGTGTCCCGTGAGTGTCAAATTTTCCAATCTCTCTTTTCTCATTAAGTGCCAACTATCTCGTTCTGATGCTACGTATGGGTGTCTATCTTCTTGTTTCCATTTTCTCTAAAATCGCTACCCACATATTCACTCCATAGTAATATCGTCACACACACACACACACACACACACACACACACACACACACACACATATATATATATATATATATATATATATATATATTATAACCACATTTACCTCGAATATCTGCTCTATCTATTATGTGATTGTCCAGCATTCATTGTTATAGAGGAGAACCAATAGGACATAACAGTTCTTTTCTTTGTTTCCAATGAAATTTTACTGTTTCTTATTGCTTGGACTCGGCCGTCGGACGAAAGGCATAAAAATAGTCCTACATCAAGAGGAGTATCAGGAGGAGCAGTAGCCTTTGCTGAAAACAGTACGTCATTCACAGCTAAACATTTTCTTCCCTGGTTTCTATTCTACATTATATTTCCCTGTACCAAGAAGTTACAATTAATTTGCTTATCTTTTGGAAGGCATCTTTCGTTATCCCAACGCGCCTTTAGATTACGGTATTACATTTTCCCTTATCTGTGTGAAACATTCGTTAGATATTTAAATTTTTGTATTTGTAATTCACGTCTTGGGCTGTTCTTTTTTTGCAAACAGTCATGCATTATGTCTTCTTACAATTGGTGTTCAATCCTTTTTCTAGCTTTCCTTCTGTAGAAGTTCATGTAGTTTCCTTTTCGTGTCTGCTATCAATACTGTGTAGTTAAGATTGTGGCCGACGATAATAAATCCAGATAGGACTTCTAATTCACTCAGAATTACTCCACTGTCTGACAATTTCTACTATTTAGGTCAGAACTAGGAGTGAGACAAGCGGTGAATTCATACCTTTATTTGCCGGTAAGCGAATGTAATAAACTCGACTAGAATTCGAACTCGGCTCTCAGATTTCTCATTCCGAGACGTTATCCATTGCATCATTGGAACAGCCAAACTTACAGCACCTGATATTCCCAAAGCAGTCATCCGTCAAGGTACTGACCAAGCTCGACCTTGCTTTAGTTCGGTCATCGGAAGAAAATCAGTATTTCAACGTGATTAATATGCATAAACCATAGAGGAAGCATACAAACATTCACCGGTAACACGGTGTAAGAAACATTAGATGCGTATTATATGTGGGTACTAATTTTTTTATAATTAGCGTGCTGCAAAACCATAAATGCGGGTGACCGAGTTAGGACTGAACTTACTATAGTAAAAATTGTCTACAAGAATTGTTTCCCCTTTTCTCTATAGGACGCGGTTTCGGTCTATATGGCTGTCTTTCACTTTTTCTCTCTCAAATCGCGATATATATATATATATATATATATATATATATATATATATATGTGTATATTGTGTATTTAGGCAGCAATCCTTCATTTATGCATGTTTCATTAAAACGACAGACAAGGTACTATGGTTAAGCTTTTTATTTAATTTTTCTTGTGTTCTAACAAGAGCTTTCTTTTCTGGACAAAGAGTGTATAAAAACTGTCCAAATGTTTTATATTTCTGAGCGCTTTCGGCTATAGCTTTAACCATTATCAAGGATGATAAGATTTTTCAGTTTAATTGAGTGTGTGCGTTATGTGTATGTTTTTAGTGTGTTATAGATATGCTTTATTTTCCTAACACGGTTAGCACAGTGTGATCTTGTTCGTAGTTAATATTGTTAAGAGTTGGCTCTTTCTTTTTTATTATTAGGGCTTCCATTATTTTAAATCTTTTTTTACAGGTGGATGAAGTTATTATGCCTGTGTTTTCTACTAGTATGTTTCGAATGGAGTCTGGTATGTTTGTGTGTGTGTTTAAATGGGTTCTAATAGATCTCTGGTTAGATAGGCGTAAGTTAAGGCGTCTGGATGGGCATGTAGTTGTGTGACCGATGTAATTTTTTGAGTTTGGTTTCTACTCACTCTGTGTTCAAAAAACAAAGCACTTGTTCGAACACAAGAAAAATTAAATAAAAAGCTTAACCGTAGTACCTTGTGTCGTTTTTTAGTGAAACCCGCATATATATATATATATATATATATATATATATATATATATATATATATATATATATATATATATATACAGAGTGTGGAATAAGAACCAATACTGCATAGTTACTAAATTTAAAATTTCAGCATCCCTGATCCTTTATGTACAGTCAAATCAAGGTAAACATCATCAGTTTGATGAAGTCCTAAAGAACGAAACGCGTCACAAGAAAAATATTTTCCTAAAATGCACGGACGCACATATATTACATAATTGCAATTTCTAGGAGAGAGCGCATTATCTGCTGTGAACAACATTCTGAACAAGACCAGTACGCTCAAACACTCGGTCACGATGACTTGTCAATTCATGCTAGCACAACCAACGACGGCTTCCAAATAGTTCCGTTTACCCATTTTCACTCACAAGACTTGATTCAACCCGTATTATGGGTTTTCAAGCACTTTCCAAATGTGCAGCACGCTGGGATCGCTACCATCAAGCAGTAACCTTCCTAATAAATCGACCATGACGGGTCTCGTGGTCGGAAAGCAAACGTTTTGATCCTTCGGCCACTTTAGTGAAGGGTGTAGATAGCAGAGCAGGTACTATTTCTCATGCCTCTACGTGGAATGTAATTCAGAGGTTTTATTCAATAGCCTGACCTGTTTGTGGAACTGCCTTCACGTGGAATAAGTTTTGTAGTTGTAGAATCTTTGTTTCCCACAGCCTTTCAGAAGCACCAATATAAAATATAAAGTAATGTATGCGTGTCGAAATAGAAAGCAGGTAGAAATATTAACTTTTCAACTAATTGAGAAATGAGAGTGATTCAACTCCGTGAAATTGGCATGACGCGTCCTAGATATAAATGTCTGAATTGGTGGCACAAAAGAACAGAGTCCAACTGAACGGTTGCCATTGAAATAGCGTCAGAATAGCGGTAGGCTTCCAACTTTGTGCCTGTGTGAAAGAGGTTGCTGAGTGGAAAATAGGTCTTCCCCGACAAGACCGTATAAACGATTTTGAACTCTATGAATACTTGAAAGTGAGAACTGAGCTGCTTATATTCAGCTATGACAGCAATACTCCATTTTATGGTCTAATCTAACGCGTGTAAAGATAAATCAATTGCCATATATTAACCAAATGGGAATGGCTGAGCAAATACCTAGCGAGATGTTTGCCCTCGAGCGATTGACGAGATATCTCGACATTTTTCTGCTTGTGATTCTTTCAACGTTAATCGTTAATCTTATTCCAGATACTCTGGTAACGAAGGCAGAAAAGAAAATATGATTGTCCTGGGGCGGTTGGTGACATATTTGACTGATAGGACGTCACAGAAAAAATATCCTGGTTCCTAATGAATAATTTCATAGCCTGGTGACGATCTAACAACTGTCACTCACACCATTCAGCTAGTTATCCGAGCCGCAGTTAATCTAGGAAGTATTCTCGAGCTCCCCAGAAGGTGCATGCGAACGTTTTTTATCTTTTGATAATCTAATGCGAAAGGAATTAATACATTTTATGTTAATAACTGATATAATGGAATATGCATACACCCGAGTTCCCCCTCACTGGAATATGATTGGCTGGTGTCCGTCATAAATACAGACGGACGTGTAGATACGAGAGTCAAGAGACTTAGTTTGAGAGCTAAGTCTATAACGACGACCATTGGACTACGCCATTGATCTACGCTTTTTACCTGCGACTACGACGCGTACCAGTCGATTACTGCTACCCTATTCTACTTGGTTATTGTAGCCAAAACCACTTAGCTACTTCGATCAAATATATCCCTTTCCAGGACATTTCAATAACAAAGAAAAATGAGCTTTTATTGGTAAATTTATCTTTGTTTTAAAAACAAAAATTACTGTTTTGCGCTTTATTAGGATGAATAACTTATACAACTCTATTATTTATTAAGATATATATCGATGCTATAGTCTATATTTAATAGGTTTATGACTGGTCACTCTTCGTGAGATTGTGGTACCATCTAATCCAGTATTATCTGCCGCATGGTATGATCTTCGACGACTAAACCGTTACTCCTATCAGGTTGTTTTCGTGATGAAGGTGGCTAGACATCCAGAATATTTAAACACAAGACTAAAAACAAGATCTATCAAAGAGCGAATGAACTGACATATACATACTATACTGTATGCAACTATATATCAGAAATGGGAGGGCCATTATAACAAAAACACTCGGCTGCTGCGGAAATTTGTAAATAACATGTTGCGCTGTACTCATAGCCGATCAACGAACTAATGGCAAGTGATTGAAAAAAGTACCAGACCATAGCA